GACCTCAAGTAGATTCCTTTGAGCCCATGAAATTTACTTGCGGGGCACATTCCAGAAGCCTGAGAATTGCGTTAAATCTGTTTCAAAGGTGTCCAAAGGCCGACGGGTTGACACTATATCTCTAAAATAATCCATAGCATATGAACAAATTTGAGAGGTTTCTGTAGCGAGAGGGCCCGAAAGCGCAAATGGGTGATTCAGTTCCCTCATGAGGGGTTTGGCTTGGCGCAGGATTAGAGAACGGAAAGTTAACTTTGTCATTCGGTCATAACCTATAATCCCCCTGATCTTCAGCCATTGTAGCCAGTCGGATTGTCGCTTAATTTCCAACTGCTCAAGCTCAGTTTGCGCCGCTGTCCTTCTGTTTGACCAATAAAATTTCTGGAAAGGATCCTCCCCCATTGACTTTTCCACTTCTTCGTTAATTGCTAACAAGGATTTTTCTTTCCACGAGAGGGCCGCCGCTTTCATCCTAAAGAATTCCTCCATGGAAGCCTAAACTATACCAATTTTTGTGTCCGCCCATTCACCTATACTAGGAAAGAGGTCTTTAGCCTTCTCCCAGTCCTTAACTTGGGCTGCTATCCAGGATGCGATCCCCGGGTCCTTCAGAATTTTGACATTTAGCCTAAAAGGTGGTTTGTATTTATCAATAGCATCTTTTGTAATAATATTCATAACCACCGGGTTATGATCCGACATGTACCCGTACTTCAGCTCTGCCCCAATGCACCGGTCCCAGGGGGAGCCACGTGCAAAGATAACATCCAACCTTTTTTTTGGTTGGGGCGCTCGAGGGGCTGGCCTGGGTCCATGCCATGTATACCCTGGAGAGTCCGGGTTCCACATTCTGTACGTATCGAACAGACCCTGAGAGTTGACCAGTTCTGAAAAAAGTAGACCGTCTGCTCTTAAAGCTTTGGGGCTTGGGGAGTCCAGACCCGGGGAGAGGACTGAGTTCCAATCCCCTGCTAATACCAAGTTTTCTGTATCCGGAATAAATTTTGGTAAATTGGCAAAGAACTCGACTCGGGTTGGGTATTCGACCAGGGCATAGATGGACATAATGGCCCAGTCCTCATCTTCTACCGCGATTGTCACCCAAGCCCACCGGCCTTCTGTGTCTGCACAGCTGTCCAAGACTTTCACTTCCAGATCCTTGTTGATAAGGACTGCGACCCCTCCCTTTGACCCTTCTGCAGGGGACCAAACTTGTGGGCCCAACCACCATCTCTGGGCTTCCATAATTTTTTCCGTGTCCAGTTTGGTTTCCTGCAGACAGATAATGTGGGTATTATTCGAGTATATCCAGGAGGAGAGGCGACTTTTTTTGAAGGTGTTGTTGGAGTCACCAAGACCGCGCACATTCCAGTTTAAGATTCTAACCTTATTGGGAAGGACCATCAGTAGGGTCCTTGCCGTTATTCAATTGGATTCGGTCGGAGTCGGTGTCCATCCCAGATGCAGCAGCAGCAACAACAGCTGCTGCTGCAGCGGCGCTGGGATGAGCAGGAGTAGGAGAGGTCCTATTTTGAATTTCAGTCACGGTTTTGCAAATCTGTTCCTTGAATGCTGGTGACTGAATCAAACTTGAGTTGTCCGAGTAGATTAACCAGTCCGCTACTACTTGAGTTGTCAAGGTGTCGGCCAACTTGATGTTTTTCAGCATCTCCGACTGTGGGGTAGCGAAATGAGCTAAGTGTACCCAATGAAACTGACTAGGGGCTGGGGAAATGTCCTTTTCCTGCTTAAATTTAAGAGCCAGGAAAGCCAGGAATAGGGCCACTTTCCCTTGCCCTGGCATTTCCACGAGGTGCCAAGAAATTTTCGGGTATGGTAGAATGCCTGTGTCAGCTGCATCCAACAAAAAGTGTTTGTTAAATAATCTAACAACGTCCTCACCCGATGGGAGGCAATAGATAGGAACAATTGGTAGTTTTATACTACCGTCCTCCGTGGCGAGGGTCAATATCTGTGCACCCGAACTAGCGGGAGTACAGACCAGTGGCACCAGGTACAGGGGGAGGTAGCCTATGGATTTGTCAGATCTAGAGAGGGTTTTCGTAGGAGCTGCTAGAGAGAGGGAGCGCCTGACTGCTTTTAATCCCACTAGCCTTTCCCTTTTCTTTGCGGAGCTTCTCAAAATTTCCTCTCTTGGGCTTTTCTCTTCCTGAGAACGAGGTGCTCCCGTGTTCAAGTCAATCCGGGTGCGTTTCGCCGGGGAAGCAGCGTCCCCTGGAGAGACAGAATTTGCTGGAAGTATTGTATTTTTCTTCTGCTTATTTTCCTGGCCCTTTGCGAGATTCGAACTCTTCTTCTTTTTTTGAACAGAACTATTTTTGTTCGGCTCTGCCAGAGCTGTAATTGACCCTAGCTCCTGATCACCAACTGGGGAGAAGAACTCCTGTTCGGGTTCCTCGTTACCCTTCTCCTGCATGTTGGCTTCTGGTGAGGGATCACCTGCGTTAGGAGCCTGAGAATTCTCGTTAAACAGATTAGGCAAGAGCCACCTGGATTCTGGTTCTTCCAAGTGAGTCAAGGTATCCGCCGCCTTGCTTGTTTCCAGCGAAAGCCCGGGGGATGGAGAGGAGATCTTTCTTACCAGCCCTGCGCCCTCCTCCTCTTCCTCCTCTTCCTCCTCTTCTTCAAATTCCTCTTCTTCCTCCTCCTCCTCTTCCTCCTCCTCCTCTTCGTCCGTTTCCTTTCCATCTACCATCTCTGCATCGAGATCCTCGCTCGGGAGCTTCGCTTCGGGTTCCTGCGATACCTCCATCGACCTTTCCTCGAATCCACCAAGTTGAGCCGGGAGTTTCTCCAATCGTTCTTTCTCTTGTGTGGGTGGGGGGGGGGGGATAACAAGACTTCTTTATAGGTGGGAGATCTGATCTTCCCCTGAGCCCCACATACGGGATCCCCACCGCCCTGCTCTGTCCCCGTAAGATTGGTTCGTGGCATATCCCCTACGTTAGCAGGAGGTGCCGCGTCTGAAAGAGGGTTCTCGGGATCGTTTTCCTTTCTGAGATCCTGCAGTACCGATCCCGTTCCCCCCTCCTTCCTTCGCCAAGCCTGGGTAGCTTTTCCTGGTTTCGTCTTTCGATGGGTTTCCTCTGTTGAAGGTGTTTTCCCTTTCCCCTTGGGGGGAACCTTCGACGTTGTCCGCGAGGACTTTGTCGAGAAGGGACAATCATCGTCCGCTTCTTCGTGGAAGTACCTGCGACAACGTTCGCACCAAGGGGTAGTAGCACAGATCACCTCCAACTCGACAAAACCCCCTTCCTCCATGTCGACTACCATGAATCTTTTATAACGGGAGCGGGCCGACGATTCCACATCGAATCGAACATTCAAGAGGGAGGGTTTTTTTTTGTCTTTGAAAACCGGATAGGATTTCAAAATTTTGCCGTACAAGGCTTCCACAGCTCCTTCGAGGTGAGGTAAAACCCCGATCGGAACTTGGAGGCAACGAATCCAGAAGAACTTAAAACGCATAGCCTCACGCCAGTCAAACAATTCTGCCTCAGACATCCATGGTCTAATAGAAAGCGTGTATGTTTTGTCATTCAAAGACACTGAATCTTCTTTCTTTCTCAGAAGCCAAGTGGCGATTTCCTTCGCAGAGGCCACGTAGGTGACTAAATTGTATCCTTCATTCCGAAATATTCCGCGTTTCGGTGGGGCATTAATACTTCCGTTCTTTGCCCAACCATTCTCATGAATTCGCACAATTCGTTCCTTGACCTTCACCGGCAATGAAGACGAATCCCCCCCAAAGGAAATTGTGACTGCGTGTTCCATAAGCCACTTTTGCTGAATCCGATATACTTCCGGGTTGACCAGAACTCGGTCAAAGTCATCCCCGGACTCAACTACTTGCGGCCGTAAATCCTTTGGGATGATTCCTTCGTTGTAACAATTGTTAATTAGAGTTTGAATTCGTTCCTTCTCGGGGTCGGATAGGGTATTCGACATAGTGGATGTATCCCCCATCGTTTCTAGTTAAATACCGAACGAAGTAGCAAAAACGACAATAGAAAAGGCAACCAAAATCAAAATTAGCAGTCTATATCAATCGTAGAGACAATCGCTAATACGGAACAAACTAGCAATAGGGACTAGACTTAATAGGAAGCCTTCAATAAACAACGGGACAACACCGCCCTTCCCCCCTCAATCGAGCAGAGTGAAGTGTTATACCTGTCCTTGCATCACAAGGAGGAAGTCTTACTGCACGAACTTCGCCTGGAGCTGTGCCGACGCTGCGCACGTCATAGCCGCCTTTAGAGTTATCGAGTAATTCCACTTCTCTCTTTGGACATTCCAGCCATCAGATTACCCTTCGTGGAGGGCGAAGCGTTGATGCCCTCTTTCCTGCTGACATTCGTCAACTCCCCTAAGCTTCTGCATCTGGCCCCAGAAACGTCGTCTCTGCGTCTGACCCAGAAACGCAGTCTCTGCGCCTGGCTCAGGGACCAAGTTTCAGTGAGATGTCCTTGAAAGTGCCGAAAACGACGCCTCGCCCATCGCCTCCTCGGTGCTCCCGTCCAACCGGTCCGTGCCAAAGCACGGACCGGATGCCGCGGCCCTTCTCCCCCGCCGCCACCGCTTAGCGCACCGCTACCGCATCGCACCGCTCGTACCCGGTAGCGGATTCTTCCAATTGGATTTTTCCAACTCCAAAACCGAAAAGGTTTTGGCTTGGGTGCTTTCTACCCATTATCCCAAGACTAAAAGAAGGATTTTTTGGTTTACAGATGGCAACTTTGGCAAGGAAATAGCATTTAATTAAAAAAAAAAAAAATACAATATTATTTTTATATACAAGATAATTTTTATATACAAGATTATTTTTATACACAAGATTATACGACAATCATCCGTGGCCATTTCAAGACACAGGCAGAGGCGCGTGACAAGCACAGACAGAAGGGAGCCAAAGGGGAAATGCTGGGCAGGAGAGTGAGGAGCCGCAAAACACACAGTGAAACGGAATAATTTTGTACCTTATGAACACGGATAAGAAGTGCAGCTTCTCCGGCGATTCTCTCAAATATGTCAATTAGAAAATCATTCATTATGTCGATCCCATCACACGTAATTGATAGATTCGGATGAACCTGCAACATTTAGAGACAATATATAAGCGTCGGCGGGAAAAACTCCATTCTTGACAGCCATCATGTGTACTTCCCTCAATTTTTGCTTTTTTTTTAACACAGGCCCACCACGGCCCACTCCTGTCTCTCTGGGCCGTCGGCTTCTGTTTTAACTGCCCTTTGTTTTTTTTTTAACTCGATCAGTGGCAGGCTGACAGCCCTGCTGAATCGCTGATAAGTTCCCTTTTGCCAATTTCAAACTCTAATCTTGACTGAGACCGTGAGACGTACTACCGAGAAAGAAAGAGACCCTCCCAGTATTTTTGGTTTGGGAAAACCGGGGTTATCAAGTTTTCCGTTCTGAAGCCGGTGTTTTTTTTTTTTTTTTTTTTTTTTTTCCCGAAACGGAAATTTTCTCACACTTCACACTTGTTTCGCAAGAATCGCAACTTAAACCACTGCAGTACTTCCAAAAGTTGTGCCCGTTAACAAGCCACTATGATTTTAGGAAATGTACGGGCCACTACAGGAGCGGCCAAATTCATCCGACGGTAGAAACGTTTCTAGTCTATTTTTTTCCGAGGCCGATAGCTGGGGCAGGCCCACCACTTCCTTTCACAGGCAGAAGGTGATGATTTCCCCAGTGGCCGATACAAAGTTGTCGTCAATTATAAAAGGGGTAACTTCAGTAGAGTCACAGAAACGAGTTATACTACGTAATTGCACTATGGGGCAAGATCCAGTTTGCAATTGCACTTCGCCCCGCGGGCACCCTACACCTGGCCAGAAAGCTGGGTTGTATGCATTATGCCCCAAACTGCAATTGGAAACTGTGTGTCTTGGCCCATACTATAGTGCAATTATAACTCATCCACGGGCCCCCGGCATTGGCTACCGTCTTCCCCCGAGCACAACGCACCCTCATCTTGGCTGTACCGGACCGGAAATATAGCTTGCATACGTTCAATTTCAGGGTGCGTTATGTTCGGGGGAAGAAGGTAGCCAAAAGCAGGTATAACCGAGCAGCTATCCTTGCGAAGCAAATCGAACATTGTGGAAAAAGGAGAGGATTAAAAAAAGAGAGAGAGAGAGAGCTTCACAGACCTGACGTTGCCTAGCTAACCTTAAGCGGGGTAACCGAACGGCCATACTGGCAAAGCAAATGAAGTTTAATGAGCCATATTTGAAGGAGTGGAAGGAAAAAAAAGAGGGAGATCACCATATGATCATACTAACACAGGGACATTTTTGACTAAACCTGACGTGACGTGTAAGTCAGATGCATCTGGGAAAATCCTAGTGTGAATGTGCTCGCAAGCTCAACCTTCCTGTCGCCACAGCTTCCCTATCGAGGTCTCTTATCAATTGACAATTTGACACCACTTCGTTGTCCAAAACTATTGCCTTCCATCCCGCGGCTGACTACGCCTGACTTCCACATTCCAGAATTTCTATCTGCTCCCTCCCCCATCTACCATGCCCTTCCTCCGGACCTTCCCTACAGATTGACCCTCGGATCGTTTCCGGAATTCCTCTTACTCCTACTCGCCTTGGTCATTTTCCCAACTCCCTTATTCTTTGGGGAATGTGCGGGTTACTGAGTGTCGTATGCATGGAAGTCTAAAGACTTTCGGTTAAAGCTTGTACGGAAGGCAGTTCGGCC